AAACTTGAATGCTCGCAAACTAACGTACCGGGCAGCTTATCGAAAAAGCTACGATTCCGTCTAACCGTTCTAAAAATAGAAAACAACAATCAATATATTAAAAGTGCGCAACCAGATAATCATAAAGAAAATAAACAACCAGTGACCTAGCATCGTCTATAGAAAGAAAAAGGCAATCAAAAGCCCTAAAGTAAAGCCCTAATGGCTTATCCGAATTTTGGAAATTTTTTAGAGGATTTTTCTCATTTTTCGTTCATTTTTTTTAACCTAAAATCTAGTGAAATTAAGCCCAAAACTGATTTCTGAACATTTCCTAATTTTCTAATTTTTTTGGAATTTTTCCGAATTTTTTCTGAATTTTTTTAAAATTTTCTGAGTTTTTAAATTTTTTTATTTAATTAATTTCTTTGCGTGCCCTTCTGGACGTCTCTCCCCAGAACGCTTTCTTCTTCGCTTCTTCATCAAGAACGTCTTCATGCCGTCACTGGGATTACGCCGGGAACGCCCATCGCCGTCCGTCTGCTCGGGCCGCCAACGTCGACGACGGACGTTGGCCTTACGCCATCACCGCCGGCCAACTTTCCGGCGACCACACCAGCCCCTTAGAGAAACAGTCACAACTCCCCACCGGCGACAAACGCACTTTCTGACAATCCAACATTCGGTCCCAACAATAGACGCTAAGCCTGAACACACAAGCATACATACACAAAATCAGGCATAGAACACTGTCACGGTGGGACTTCGACCCAAGGCCTCACCGGAAAATGAATGTTGACTCCGACTCGTGTGCACGTCCATGGCCGACATCGGGGAACAACGGAATATGCCATACAAACACATGAAAAAACAAGGAAAGCTTGGGATCAGTAACTACAATAGAACCATTCAAGCATATAACAAAACTTTAGGGCGTCGGTTTTGCAAAAACGGACTCGGAGTTTCAGTCGGACATTTTGTCGAACAGGTGGTGGGCGAGTTCGAGCAGGGGCTTAAGATTGGCATTCGGTGCGATTTTTGGCTTGAACATGGAGTGTGAGGATCTAAGGAACCATATCTCGTCAAAAAATCGTCTCGGCTTGCGATAGAACGCTAAAAAAAAAAAAAAAGCGACCAGATTCGACATTTAAAACTTAAATAGCTTCAGGCGGCCAAAAAAATGGATCAACAGATCCGATTTTGACTAGGCTCACGGCTTGTTTTCAACATACAACGCTCAGAAAAGGTTCATGGAGTGTCGAACGAATGTTAGCCTCTGTCGACGGGGCCGAGCAATCACCGAACGGGACTCGGTGTGCCCGGCACCCGAGAGGCAGGGGAGAGGAGAAGCCAAAACAGGGGAAAGCTATGGAGACCCACCTGGTTCGTGACCGACCGGGATGAAGCGCGGCGACTGGAAGCTCGTCGGCACCGACGGCGACTCGGGCGGCCCTCCGGCGAGCGGGTGAGGCTCTCTCTTCCTTTCTCACCCTCAAGATCTCTCTTTTTCACCTCATCCTCCCTTTCTCTCCGGTTCTCCCTCGCCCGCTTCCCCGATTTCTCTCCTTTAGCTCTCTCGAGCTCTCTCGAGGAACTCTCTCCCTCGGAACTCTCTTTCTCTCTCTCGGAACTCTCTCCCTCTGTGCCTCTGCCCCCCTGCTCCTATTTCTGCCTCTCTGCTTTCGTTCTGGCTTCTGTTCGCTGCGTTCTCCCCTTACCCAGGGGCGCAGAAAAGTTGCTTTTATTATGACATGAAAATGGAAATAAAGTACTGGCGTAACCTTAGGAGTCACAGTCGACTGATAAAGTGATTATTTTTAGCATTTGAAATGGGCGTGCCTTTTCTCTTAATATCTTAAACATAAGTTTTTTTAGCTGCTCTCTATTAAAATAGAGTAATGCTATGAGAAGTTATTAATGAGCTTTACAAAAAAAAAAGTTCATACTTAAATCTCATGTGAATTTATTATTTAAATTAAAATTTATGCTTCAACTTAATTAAAAGAGAAAAAAAATACTAGAATTATGAAAACATCATATATAAATCAGTATGTCATTATTTGCATTATGTGAAATTTTCAAGTGTTTCGGGTGTTAGAAAAGTAAAAAGAGAACGTGAATCGCAAGATATTAATTAGAAAGGGTGAAAAAAAAAAATGCAATCCGGACATGCCCTTATTTTGTAAGGATTTTGCCAACAAATGCCTAGGTGCTCAGTCAAACAATTGATTAGGGAAAATTTAAATCGAGTATGCTTGATAATCGCTCGAGGTACACTTGCTAACATGACGCCTTTTCATAAAGGAAAATATTAAAGAGTGTCTCTAAGGATTAACTCATACATTGAAATGTTAATATATCTATTTGAAGCACATTACCTTTTTAGAACTTATCCCCTTTCAAATTTCAAAATGCGTTTATATAGGTTATAGCTAATTCTAGTAATCTTAACTAGTACCAGGGACACTATTCATCAGGAAAAGACAGGGCCCTTATGTCTGACCTCTGCAAGATGACACACTTGCTTGGCAATAACAAAGTTAACTAATCGATTAATAAAAGATATTAATTGAAGCACTTACAACGATGGAGGTTATTTAATTGGGTGATTATAAACAAATTAATGGGGCGGGCCTTTGGCATGCATGATGGTGTTTCCCCATAATTACGAGAACCGAAACACTGCGACGTGGGACTTCTTTGGACATTCGCTTCCACAGCATGTGCCTCCCACCCTCCCTGCAACCCTATACGGACTCTGCATTGTCTAATATATACATAAACACACATGAATATATACATAATCCTGTATGTATTTAACAAAATTTAACAGAATTGAATATTTCTCGATATTCAATTTGTCCAATGCACAATTTAAGTTTTGAAAAAAAAGTGCAACCAAATCCTGTATGTTTCCGGACGAACAACCGCTAAGGCAAATTCCATTTACACACTCGCGATCGGGCAATCTCATCTTTTATGTTTAAAATTAACTGGGATTCCGATTCTTAACGCAATCTAAAACCTCGCCTTGCAAGTCTAGAAAAATCTAAAACAAAATATATATGTGGTTTAATCCTCCCAACATTCGACCTAAAAAAAAAAGAAAGAAAATATAAATCCCACCAACATTAACATTGAATAAAAGAAGGCAAAGAGCTAACCGTTCATCGAGACTGAAATTTTTCATGAGAAGGAAGGGCTTGAGCATCAGTTTTAAAAAGCTCGATTTTGGTGAAACTTCATGGAGCGATCCAATCAGAGCATTCAATCACATCGTTTCTCATCATCTGCTCAGCCCCCTCGCTCATTCACAGCACCTGCCAATCCGCGATTCAGACAAGAAAATAGTTCGAATCGAAAGGAGGACGACGCAGGACGCACGCCAACGAAAACATCAAGAAGAAGAAGAAGCAGAACAAGGCGTCGTATCGAATGGAGGAGATTCAGATCTACAAAGAGAATCATAAGACGAGTAGCCGGATTTCGATGTGTAAGAGATGATGGGAGAACCGTCGATGGGGACTGCTGTTTGTATAGAGTGTACCTCAAGAAGATGGTCTGCCTCAGAAACCCTAATTGCTCCCCTCTTGAAACGCCGTCGTGTGCTTTGAGTCTCTCTGATCTCGAGTCCCCAAAACTGCGTCGTTTTAATTACGGCATGAAAACAGGCCCTAGGCCAAGGGGGACCTGTGTCGGCCGGCAAGTCGGAGGGCCCCACCAAGGGAAATTCCTTTCCAGGCTAAACCCGGTTCGCACTTCGAGCCCCGCGGGCTCGAGCTAGGGCTAAACAAGCCGCCAAGCTCACGATCAGGTATATATGTAAACTTGTGCTGTCGGCACGATTGGGTGGTGCCTTTATTCGGTTGACAAAAGCAACCTTAAGCGGATTGAAATAATCGAAATAATAAATGGAAAAGATGAATGTTGCTTTTTATTGAAAATGCAAAAGTCGCACATGGTCTCAAAAATACATGATTGTTTGTATCGATAAAAATAATGATATTTTACCCTACGAACTTATATTACTTTATGTGCCATTTTTATACAAACTTCATTTCCTCTCTTCTACTTATTAATGTGCTCAGGCTGATATTTACGAAGGAATTTTTTTAGTAATGATTATGAATTATTTATGTAATAATGTGTTTGAATAGATATAGAGCGGGTCATATAGTATAAAGCCCGTGATCCAAAATACACGCCGAAAAGAGACGACGTGAACCGAACATCAAACACCTGGCATGCGGGACTGGGTTCTTCCCTGAGCAGAGGAACACGGTCGCATGATCAGGTTCCTGAGCACGAGAGCGTTCCGATGTGCGAGCGTTGCGACACCATGCGATGGTCGTGGACTCAACAGCTTCCTTCACCCGTCAGCATGTGGGTTCTCGGCCCAAGCCGCCCATCTGCTCGAGCAATGTCCAAACGACTCGGAGCTTCCAACTTCAGACTTCGACTCACATTCCTACGCCAGTATGCCCCAAGACTGCATCCACAGCGGCGACCCCATTTCGGCCAGGCCTCTCCACTGCGACGTCATCAAGAGGGCTGCTTGCCTGGACTTGTTTGCTTCCAACATCCTTCTCAATGCGTACGTGAAGTCCGAGCTCTTGGGGGATGCGCGCATACTGTTCGACGAATTGCCCGAGAGGAATACCATATCGTTTGTGACGTTGATCCAGGGCTTAGCGCTGGCCCTCCGGTTTGCCGAGGCCGTCGAGCTTTTCAGTAGGTTGCGTGGGGAGGGGCACGAGCTGAACCCATTTGCTTTTACTACTGTCTTGAAACTGCTTGTGAGTGTGGAGAGGGCAGACATGGCTGGGGCTGTTCATGCCTGCATATGTAAGTTGGGCCATGATTCGAATGCATTTGTTGGGACAGCTTTGATAGATGCTTACTCTGTGGGTGGATCTGTTTCCTGCGTCAAGGATGTTTTTGGTGGGATTGTTTTCAAGGACATGGTTTCTTAGACTGTGATAATTTCCTGCTGTGCTGAGAATGGATGCTTCGAAGAGGCCATGGGGCTCTTCTCTCAAATGAGAATTGTTGGGTTTAAGCCAAATAACTATACCTTTGTCAGTGTTCTGAAGGTTGTCTTGGTATGGGGACTATACACTTGGGAGAAGCGTTCATGGATGCACTCTGAAAACGCATTATGAGCTGGATGTACATGTAGGTGTGGGATTGCTAGAATTGTATAGTGGATTGGGTGACATGGAGGGCGCACGGAGGGTCTTTTAAGAGATTCCTAAGAAAGACATAATTCCTTGGAGCTTTATGATTGATCGTTATGCTCAGATTAGTGAGAGTAGAAAAACGGTGGAGCTTTTCTGTCAGATGAGGCAAGCGTTTGTCGTCCCCAATCAGTTTACCTTTGTGAGTTTGTTGCAAGCATGTGCCACTATGGAGTCTTTACAATTGGGTGAGCAAGTGCACTGTAACGTCCTCAAGATTGGTCTTGACTCAGATGTGTTCGTCTCAAATGCTCTAATGGATGTCTATGCTAAGAGTGGAAGGATTGATATTTCTGTTAAAATATTTGAGGAATCACAAGCTACAAATGATGTGACTCGTGATCCTTACCTTACCAAAAAAAAAAAAAAAATGATGTGACTCGTGACACTCTGATTGTTGGCTTTGCACAAATAGGTGAGGGGCAGAAGGCATTGAGTTTGTTCTCAAATATGCTTGATCATCGACTGACGGCAACTGAAGTGACATATTCTAGCGTTCTTCGTGCTTGCTTGGGGCTTGTGTTATCCATCATAATGTTGAGCTGGGAAGACTTTCAGCAGAGCGTGTGCTTGAGATGGAACCTCATGACGAAGCAGCCTATGTTCTTTTGTCCAACATTTATGCAAATGAAAGGAGGTGGGAGAATGTCGCTGCTGTGAGGAAAAAAATGAAATGACAAGGCATAAAAAAGGAACCAGGTTTAAGTTGGTTTGAATATCAGGGAACGGTCCATTACTTCACCGTTGGGGATACTTCACATCCTGATATGAAGCTAATCAGTGGGATGTTGGAGTGGTTGAACATGAAAGCCAAAAAGGAAGGGTTTGTCCCTAATTGTAGTGCTATATTACTTGCCGTTGAAGATGAAGAAAAGGAGCGCTTGCTGTGGTTACACGGTGAAAGATTAGCTTTAGCATTTGCGCTTATCAAAATGCCCTATGGAAACCCTATACGTATTATGAAAAATCTTCGAATATGCGTCAACTGCCATGCTGCAATAAAGCTGATATCAAAGGTTGTGCCGCGAGAAATTATCATCAGAGATATCAACCGCTTCCATCATTTTCACAATGGAGCATTTGCCTATCATAGGAAAAGGAAACTCTACTATACAACGCAAACTTAGTCATTTCTTTTTGTTTAAATCTTTAGTCTGCAAGTATCGACATAGGGATAAAAGGGAGTCCTGCCATTAGATTGGAACGATGTGCTGGATCTTCCATACAACAAACGATTAATTCGGGAGGTCCACTTGCAATTTTATATGGCTAGAATTTAAAGAAAATAATCTCCTTTTGGCACATAGTGCTTTTGGATTGTTGATTTTGATGGATTGTAATTTCAATTGCTCATTTTAGGGATTGTTGCTTTTGGTGGATATTGGTTTTTATTATTCATCTTTTATTTTGAATCATTTCATTACTACCCATATTATTTTGCTGGAAAAAAATGAAACCATAAAAGGAACAAAAAAAAAAAACAGGTTCTCGAGTAGACCCTGAAACCAGACCGAAAAAATAGGGTCCAGGGAAAATAGGGTAGGTTTCAGGTTTCAAAATTAGGAACCGGTTATAATAGGGTTGGCTTCAGGTTTCAGGTCTGGATCCAACCCATTTTGGAACCGATCACCCCTAATACTGTCCATCATCGTTTCTAACTTCTTATTCTGGAAAAATAAGTACTTATCTATTCGTGACTAGTATTATAATCCAATCTTATCTAATTAATTATACTAAAAATATATTTTTGGGACATTTAATGTGTTTAATTTAACGAGAGGAGTCTTTCTTTTTCCAAATAAAAGTTTAAAATTTTTTCTAAGTAGTAAAGGAGACTTTAGATTTAAAACGTTTAACTTTAATGAGATGGGTCTTTCTTCTACAAATTAAAAAATTTGAAGTTTTAGTAAATGAAAGTAAAAAATTTGAGTATATCGTTAAAGACTCAATTCAGTTATAGATATCTTATTATATAATATAAATTCCGATATTATAAAATGGACTAGGAACAATAGTTATGTGATAGAGAGAAATATCTCGAAGTAAATGTAAAATAATTATTATCTCAATATATGCTAAGTGAGGTTAATTAGGCTACACATAATAGTACCTATATTATTTTTCATTCAATCTGAATATGCACGAGTAGGCAAGAAATTAATTTTTCATTTCATTTTTTTTCCTTAAATAGGGTGATTTTAAATTAACGGGGTTAGCTTTTAATACCGATTACAGTGATTAAAATTCATATAATTTCATAAAAAGTAGATAGATGATACCTTTTTATCTCGTGTTTGGCTGCGGGAGATTAGCATGTCCCTGCTCCGGGTCGAGCGGATCCGTTCGCGGGGGAGCAAGGGCGGCGCGAGATTTAGCACCGGGCGCACGATAGCGACGAGCCGAAACGGGCCTTCGTCACTCACCTGCGCAGATTAGGGTTGCTCCCTCAACGAAGGAAGGATTTTTCAATTTTTCTCTCCCCCTGCTCCTCCAAAAAGAAAATCCAACGGTAACCTCCCCCTCCTCCGTTCTCCGTCTCTCTTCCATCGGCATTTACGATCGTCCCCGCGCTTTTGCTTCTTTTTGGGGGGGATCTACTCGTAGCGAATCGCGTTCGAGGAAGATGGTAGGAGGGAGGGAGGGATCGCGAATTGGGTTTGTAGGGAGACGGGCAAATGTGGGTCGATGTCCAAACTGCGTGTAATGCGGATGGATGCGGGAGCTGTTCGCATTTTTTCGTTTTTCCTTTGGTTCAAGATTGAGAAATGATGAGGCGGTGTGTTTGCGAATTTGGGTTCTCTTTTTGATCTGGTGTTTGAAGGAAAAGGGGGTTCATTTTTTTTGTGAAGGAGCATGAGGGACTGGGTGTGCACTGTGCTGTCTCTTATCTGTTCTTTGACTTGAAAATCTGTTAAAGGGGTTGTTTGGTTGGGAACAGTGAAGGGCTTGTTCTGTTTGATTAGTTGAAAGCAGTCTTGGGTTTGTCGATTATGTTTTGGAACGATGTCCCGATGCGCCAACCGGTAGCTGTTTCTCTTTTCAGGGGTATTTGTCGCCTGTGGTCGGAGTCGGTTGTCCCTTTATTCTCTTGAAATGAACGGTTTGATCGGACTTGGGATCTGATCCTCAGAGATACATATTCCTTGGAAGAGAGGAGGAGTATGTCCATAGGGGCTGGACAGATGTTGGTGGCTTACGATGATCCGTCCGACCAGCATTCTTTCTCTTTAGACGACAACAGCAGCGCCGAAGAGTCTCTTGATGAAACGAGGCTCTCCCTGGAAAGCACTAACGAGACTGTTCCGTACATTGGGCAGAGATTCGACACTCATGATGCTGCCTATGAGTTTTACTGTGAATTCGCTAAACGGTGTGGCTTTTCGATCCGTCGCCACCGTACCGAAGGAAAAGAAGGAGTTGGTAAAGGGCTCACAAGGCGGTACTTTGTTTGCCATCGTGCTGGAAACACGCCTGTCAAATCAACTAACGAAAGTAAACCTCAAAGAAACCGGAAATCCTCTCGGTGTGGATGCCAGGCATATATGCGGATAAGCAAGACAACGGATTTAGGAGCTCCAGAATGGCGCGTCACTGGTTTTGTAAACCATCATAATCACGAACTTCTGGAACCAAACCAAGTTCGTTTCCTACCTGCTTACCGAACAATATCTGACACGGACAAGAGCAGGATTCTTATGTTTGCCAAGACAGGTATCTCAGTCCAGCAGATGATGAGGCTGATGGAACTCGAGAAGTGTGTGGAACCAGGATACTTGCCTTTCACGGAGAAGGATGTTAGGAACTTACTCCAATCATTTCGGAAAATAGACCCTGAAGATGAAAGTATAGATTTGTTAAGAATGTGCAGAAATATAAAGGAAAAGGACCCTAATTTCAGGTTCGAGTACACACTTGATTCGAACAAGAGATTGGAAAATATCGCGTGGTCGTATGCATCATCCATACAATCATATGAGATCTTTGGCGATGCTGTCGTATTTGACACGACACACCGGCTGACTGCATTTGATATGCCGCTTGGTTTGTGGGTTGGGATCAACAATTATGGCATGCCCTGTTTCTTTGGTTGTGTACTTATGAGGGAGGACAATTTGAGGTCTTATTCGTGGGCATTAAAGGTAATTAAACAAACAACAAATAGTTCTCTCTGTAGAAGAAATACAATGGCTGCATAGTTGACATATTAAATGTCAGGGGTAAGCTGATTGGGAGCATATTTTGTGTGCTGGTGTAGACGTACGAGTTATTACCTATCCTGTTTTTTTGTTTCTTCTGTCCATTCTTTCTGGAATTGGAATATATGTCCTATTTTGAGCTCCGGTTCCTCTAATAAATAGTTCGATGTTTTAATTTCTCTCTCTTGCTTGTGAAGGTCTTCTTGGGGTTTATGAATGGAAAAGCACCCCAAACAATTCTTACTGACCAGAATATGTGCCTGAAAGAAGCGATATCTATGGAAATGCAAACAACTAAACATGCACTTTGCATCTGGATGATCGTGGCGAAGTTTCCCTCTTGGTTCAATGCTATTTTGGGAGAGCGTTATAACGAGTGGAAGTCCGAGTTTTATCGACTCTATAATGTGGAATCAATAGAGGAATTCGAAATAGGGTGGAAGGAAATGCAAAATTTTTTTGGGCTGCACTCAAACAGGCACATCATTAATCTGTTTGCCCTGAGATCATATTGGGCATTACCATACTTGAGAAGCTACTTTTTTGCTGGAATGACTTCCGCTGGCCAGTCAAAGTCCATTAATTCCTTTATCCAACGTTTTCTGAGTTCACAAACCCGTCTTGCACATTTTGTTGAGCAGGTACATTGTATTTTGTTTACATTATTTAATAGTTGTGGCTTGAACTGTCATATTTCTGTTTCCTCTAATTATGTGTTCTAGCTATTTGTTCTTAAATTCTGCATGGCCAATGCTGGTTACCTTTTGGAAGAGAACTAAGGAAACATTTGCGGGTTGCTTTTCTTTTGTCTCTCCGTCAGGATACCATGGGCCTTAATCATCGCTTTTAATTTAACTTACATAATCAGGTCCCTCCATCAATTAGCTTAAGCTTTATGTAGACATTGAACATTGTTGTCTCGGTCTTGATTTCGCTGGGTGAGTAGGGCTAATCAGATTATAGAGACTACAAAAAGCTGGGCAGCTTAGTGGGAATTTTTGGCAATTATGTCCAAGATGGTAGAGCTGAAAACATCATTATTTGGGCTGTGCGTGTCTGAGCCTGTTGCAATTTCGTGTCTCTTATTTCTGTGTTAACTACTAAGGTTGTGAGAGCCTATTGCTGTATTTCAAGGACCTCATAATGGAAAAGAAAGGCAGTGTGCTTTATTGGGAGAGAATTGAAGTTCTTTGAGTCCTAATTTTAGTTCTCTCCTCGAGCCAAACAGGATGGAAATGAAAACTTGTTATCAGCTGTTAATACTTTCATCAGTACCTCCACATTCATGTACAAACAATCTTTTGCTAGTTGGAATGGGTGCAATTAATCCTCAGTGTTGACTAATGACCTGTTTTATCTTTGCTAAGACACTGTTGGTGGCATTAGTCTGTTTTCCCTCTGTTGACTGAAGCTTAGAATTTGTTGATGTAGGTGGCTGTTGCGGTCGATTTTAAAGATCAAGCGGGAGAGCAGCAAACAATGCAACAAAATCTCCAAAACATCTCCTTGAAGACAGGAGCGCCCATGGAATCCCATGCCGCTACGGTCCTCACTCCGTTTGCTTTCTCTAAGCTGCAAGAGCAACTTGTCTTGGCGGCCCACTATGCATCCTTCCAAATGGAAGACGGCTTTCTTGTGAGGCACCACACAAAACTCGAGGGAGGGCGGAGGGTTTATTGGATCCCTCGGGAGGGCATCATAAGTTGCAGTTGCCATCTATTCGAGTTTTCTGGAATCCTGTGCCGGCATGCGCTCCGAGTCCTCTCCACTGGGAATTGTTTCCAAATACCCGATAAGTATCTCCCCCTCCGATGGCGGAAGATCAGTACGTCTTCGTCGAAGCTCCTTCACAATGCTCCGAGCGATGACGCGGAAAGAATACAGTTACTCCAGAGCATGGTATCGAATCTAATATCAGAGTCAACCAAGTC